ATTCTATTTTTGGGCAGTAAAATGGGTTAAAGTGCTCTGAGCTGAATACTGAGTGTTCAAACTCAGACTGTTCATCACTAACATACTGAACTCTAAGGGTTCAGCTCTGGTTTCTCCCAGCACACCATTCACAAGATTCAAATCACTAATAGATTCTAGACATTAGGAACAGCAGTTGTAACATTTAAAAAGGGAGTTAGACATAAATTAATCTTACTTCTGCGCTTTACTCCAGTGAATTATTGGACATTCCTCGGCCATCTTGGGATAGCATGGAACCATGGGTGGAACATACACACACACATACACACACACACACACACACACATTCACGAGGCCCACAGGGAAGAGAAAAAGCATACAGATTTATTCTCGATTCAATCTCATCACACACTTATTATATACACACAAACACACAGGTGGAGGGAATGTGACAAGACGGCAGGAAAGTGCTACCCACAGAGAGAGATAATGAACAGGTGTCCAGAGAACAGAGAAGAGTACCAGTGTGTGTGTGTGTGCACATGTGTTTGTGTGTGAATATGTGCAAGGCCCACTGAGCAAATGTCCTGAATGGCTCAGTAGGATTCATGACCTGAGCAAATGAGGACAGATGCCATGTCAATGCTATATCCTCACAGTCCCTGTGTAGAGGCCAAGAGGCCAGAAAACGTCCTGGTCATATCACAATATTCTCACAACGCAGCCAAACTCCACTAAAGCAACCATAAAACACATCTCAGAGTGGAGAATGAACAACCAGTGCTGCTGAAGGAGCAGATCAAGGACTAGGAGAGATTGATAGCTTGACAGCCTCCTAATCAAATGTTTATTCATTAATCATATGCATTTCCATAGACTCACTCAGTCACTCAAACACAATATTAATTAAGATAATATATATTTCCATACCTATTCCATCTCACTAACTGTACGTCTGATTGCCCAGTCCAATTTCCGTATTTCATCCAAAACCTTTCAACATTATTCTATGTAGGATTGGCAGATGGCTGAAATCCGTCGGCTGAAATCAAGGCCGGCGTCTGACATTGGCATTACACCTGGAGTGAAGGAGCAGTGTGTGTGCATGAGTGTATGTGTGCGTAGGCATGCATGTGTATTTGTGTGCATGAATAAATGCCTATGTGTGTGTATGTCCATGGGTGAGTGTGTGTAGGTGTTTGTGAGTGTGTGTGTGTGTGTGTGTGTGTGTATGGACGTCCACCTACCTCTACTACTAGGTCCACCACTAGGTCCACCACTAAGTCCACCACTAGGTCCTAGGTCCACCAATAGGTCCACCACTAGGGCCACCACTAGGTCCACCACTAGGGCCACCACTAGGTCCTAGGTCCACCACTAGGTCCTAGGTCCACCAATAGGGCCACCACTAGGTCCTAGGTCCACCACTAGTTCCACCACTATGTCCTAGGTCCACCACTAGGTCTAGTATAATGAATATTAAACATTAGGGGATTGCTGGAGATTGCAGTTTTAGCATAACAAAGAGATAGGACTCCATGGTATAAATCAGGAGTGCCCAAACCTGTTCCTGGAGAGCTACCGTCCTATAGGTTTTTGCTCCAACCCTAATCTAGCAGACCTGATTCTAATAATTAGCAGGTTGATAAGACGAATCAGGTTAGTAACACCTGGGGTTGGAGCGAAAACCTACTGGAGGGTAGCTCTCCAGGAACAGGGTTGGGCAACCCTTATATGAATGATACAGTGTCTACAGTCTGATGATGGGCACTCAGGTTGGGGACAGTCAACACATTACATTTAACTTGTTAAACATGTATAAACTCTCCTGAGATCGGGGAACCACTGACAGTATATAGTTGTTTTGGTGTAATTGGACGTAGAATACCTCATTTTTATATTAACCCTCCCGTTGTCCTGTCAGGGTCAAAAAGACCCAGGCTACGTGTTAGAGTGAGTGGCTGTACAAGCCCTAGCGTTGTCCAGTCCAGTCCTGTCCTGGCTGGGGTCAAAACGACCCAGGCTACGTGTTAGAGCCTAGGTGTTAGAGCTAGTGGCTGTATATCCCCTCCCGCTGTCCTGTCCTTTCTTGTCCGGGGTCAAAAAGACCCAGGCTACGTGTCAGTGTCTATGTGTTAGAGCGAGTGGCTGTATATCTCCTCCCGTTGTCCTGTCCGGGTCAAAAAGACCCAGGCTACGTGTTAGAGTGAGTGGCTGTACAAGCCCTAGCGTTGTCCAGTCCAGTCCTGTCCTGGCTGGGGTCAAAACGACCCAGGCTACGTGTTAGAGCCTATGTGTTAGAGCAAGTGGCTGTATATCTCCTCCCGCTGTCCTGTCCGGGTCAAAAAGACCCAGGCTACGTGTCAGTGGCTATGTGTTAGAGCGAGTGGCTGTATGACCCCTAGCGTTGTCCTCTCCTGTCCTTGCTGGGGTCAAAACGACCCAGGCTACGTGTTAGAGTGTTAGAGCGAGTGGCGACGACGTCCTGTGCTGCGAACGGGACCCTTGCAAATCAAATCAAATCAAATGTTATTGGTCACATTGTAGGTACAGACATTACAGTGAAATGCTTACTTTCTAAAGAATCTGGTGATTTCCTTGTAATATTGTAGGTGTCACTACTCGACAATGCTCGAAACCCAAGATGTCCATTTCCTCAACAAGTGAATATATGTCATCTGGTCTTCAGCTTGCTGACAATTGTACATCTCCGCACGTGTTTCATTCTGACAGTCTGTCAACTTGTATACTTGCGGTACAATATTTTCGGTTTTCGTGAAATCACAAGGTATGCGTAGGCTCGAACGGATCCCCGTCATGGCGTCTTCTTTGGGGGCAACAGAAAAGCCTTGAAATATCCAGGCGACTTTCTTCATCAGAAGTGTCTGTTCCTCATCTGAGAGATCTGTCATGTGGACACCGCTACACACGGAAGAGATATCGCATGGCATTTGCCGATATGTTCGATATGTCAACAAATGGTCTCAGACGTGGCTGTGACGAACGTCCATGTCCCACATGTCGTAGTACAAAGCACAAGTACAAGACTCGCTGTCGTCGAAACCGGTCAACATTGCACAGGGACACCATCCCACAGCTTCACGGTGTATCTTCTGCAAATGGTCCTGGTGTGTCACCATGATGTGTGACACTGCACCGTGGTAAAACCACAAGAGCAGAGCCTGTCCTACGACCCGAACGAGCCACAGCTCATAACTCAACAGACTATATTTCGGTTCGACAAATAGTCTTACCTCCAGTTTGTTGTTGGGCATGACCGAGAGGCTTTTCACCGTGTACCCGAGAAGTATGGGTATGTTCTTCACTACTCGATTGAACGCAGAATAGATGTCGTTGAAGTTGATGGTGCTCAGATTCAGTCGAGTCGACCCTCCGATGCCCAGACCGATCACAGTGACGACGGTGGTGTTGTCGGTAGTTACGTGACTGGAGTCCGACGTGTGTATGTCAAACACTGCAGTGATGCAGCAAGAATCCCCCTTCACGTTTTCTGTGTTCTGGAAAGTCGACATAGCTTCGATCGATGCACAGTGCTCAGAAGCTTCTCTGGTATATTGTGGATTTGACCACTCCCAGAAAAAGAATTAATTATATTATATTCATTTATTTATTTGTTAATTTTTTGTCAAATTATATCTTTGTGATTAGTTTTAAAACATGACATTTTTAATAGTAGTTGTTATTTTTTGTAAACATAGATCATGGTTTCGGCTACATACAAGCAATCGTGGTGTCTACGTAGACATCAAGTTATTCGATTCAAAACCTATTCTGTGCTGCCCATGTTCTATTCCTTCGACACACATCGTCGCTATTCTGACATGTCGGCAATCATGAGTTTGCGTTCCACGCCATTCCTTGAGTGCGATACAGCTAGTCCAGAAAGTGTCTCTGTGGGTTTGGGAGAAATTAACCCTCCCGTTGTCCTGTCTGGGTCAAAAAGACCCAGGCTACGTGTTAGAGTGAGTGGCTGTATAACCCCTAGCGTTGTCCAGTCCAGTCCTGTCCTGGCTGGGGTCAAAACGACCCAGGCTACGTGTCAGTGCCTATGTGTTAGAGCTTGTGGCTGTATATCTCCTCCCGCTGTCCTGTCCTGTCCTGTCCGGGTCAAAAGGACCCAGGCTACGTGTCAGAGCCTAGGTGTTAGAGCTAGTGGCTGTAAATCCCCTCCCGCTGTCCTGTCCGGGTCAAAAGGACCCAGGCTACGTGTCAGAGCCTAGGTGTTAGAGCGAGTGGCTGTATATCTCCTCCCGCTGTCCTGTCCGTGTCAAAAAGACCCAGGCTACGTGTCAGAGCCTAGGTGTTAGAGCTAGTGGCTGTATATCTCCTCCCGCTGTCCTGTCCTGTCCTGTCTGGGTCAAAAGGACCCAGGCTACGTGTCAGAGCCTAGGTGTTAGAGCTAGTGGCTGTATATCCCCTCCCGCTGTCCTGTCCGGGTCAAAAGGACCCAGGCTACGTGTCAGAGCCTAGGTGTTAGAGCGAGTGGCTGTATATCTCCTCCCGCTGTCCTGTCAGGGTCAAAAAGACCCAGGCTACGTGTTAGAGTGTTAGAGCTAGTGGCTGTATAACCCCTAGCGTTGTCCTGTCTTGTCCTGCCCGGGGTCAAAACGACCCAGGCTACACGTTAGAGGCATAAGCTCTGAGCCAGAGGTACTAGGTAAGCCGTAAACAAACACCAACACCAACTACAACTACAACAACTACTACAACAACAACAACTACAACTACTACTACTACTACTACTACTACTACAACTACAACTACAACTACAACTACTACAACTACAACTACAACTACAACTACAACTACAACTACAACTACAACTACTACTACTACTACTACTACTACTACTACTACTACTACTACTACTACTACTACTACTACTACTACTACTACTACTACTACTACTACTACTAATATTGCCTCCGTGGCATGTCCGGACATGTCCCGAAGAGAGAGATCTTGGGGACTTCCCCAGCCTGGGTGCCGAAGCTATTATGAGTGCTGTGCGTTTCACGGCCAAATAGGTCCTAGAACATATATTTTCCAATGACTCTGACTGCGACGAGGAAGCGGACGAGGAAGCGTCCGAAGAAGAAGACGGGGAGGAATACAACCCAGAGGACGAGGAGACCACAGAGGACGACGACGACGACGACGACGACGAGGACGATGTCCAAGTAGAAGAAGGTCAAGGCGTAGAAGACGAACGAGACGATGACGACGACGACGACGACGACGACGATGTCCAAGTAGAAGAAGGTCAAGGCGTAGAAGACGAACGAGACGATGACGACGACGACAACGACGACGAAGACGACCACAACGACGACGACGACGACGACCAACAAGAAGAAGAAGAACAAGGAGAAGAACAAGGGGAAGGTGAAGGTGAAGGAGAGCGAGGAGACCGCAGCAGCTGCCGCCGCAGCTGCCGCCGCAGCCTCAGCCCCCGAACACAACACGATATCCCTCGAGTGGAAAGAGAGACATTCGTGTCGAGAAACGGCCAAATCCAATGGTGCTCGGTGCCCTGTGACAACAATCGGGGCGTCGGAGGGGCCGCCGCAGCGGCAAAAAGTAACAGGCCGGTTGCTGAGGTGCCGGAGGACATGAGGCCCGGGCCTACTAGGCAGGCCGTAGGCCAAGCCCGCGACATCCTCTCCACGTTCCGCTTGTTTTTCACACCCGAGATAGAAGACATCATCCTGGAGATGACCAATCTGGAGGGCGTTCGAAAAAACGGAGCCCGAGGCGACGGCGACGGCTGCGGCGGCGACGACGACCACCGCCACTACGCCGACGACCACGAAGACCACGACCGCGACCGCGGCGGCCGCTGGAAAGCGATGGACTCCACAGACCTGCGAGCCTACGTAGGGCTGCTCATCCTAGCCGGCGTGTACAGGTCCCGAGGCGAAGCGGCCTCTAGTCTCTGGGACGCCGAGAGCGGAAGGACCATCTTCCGCGCAACCATGCCGCTCAAAGTCTTTCACGCTTACTCGAGACTCCTTCACTTCGACGACCGCCAGACCAGAGCCGAGAGACGCGCAGCAGGCGGCGGTGACAAACTTGCGGCCGTGAGAGAGGTCTGGGACAAGTGGGTCGAGAGGCTGCCGCTCCTCTACAACCCCGGGCCCGACGTGACGGTGGACGAGCAACTGGTCCCTTTCAGAGGTGTGCCGGGCCAACAACACCGTACAAGAGCACAACAACACTGTACACAACACAACACAACACAACACAACACAACACGCTAAAGCTAATCTCTTCTCTTTCCTTCCTCTCCTCTCTCTCTCTCTCTCTCTCTCTCTCTCTCTCTCTCTCTCTCTCTCTCTCTCTCTCTATCTCTCTCTCTCTCTCTCTCTCTCTCTCTCTCTCTCTCCTCCAGGCCGATGTCCTTTCCGCCAGTATATCCCAAGCAAGCCGGCCAAATACGGCATCAAGACCTGGGTGGCCTGCGACTCCAAATCCAGCTACGCCTGGAAGGTGCAGGTCTACACCGGGAAGGCCACATGCGGAGGGCCCCGAGAAGAACCAGGGGATGAGGGTCGTGCTCGATTTGACGCAGGGACTCAGGGGTCACAACGTCACCTGCGACAATTTCTTCACCTCATACGAGCTCGCGCGCCAGCTCCTGAGGAGGAACGTCACCGTGGTCGGCACAGTCAGAAAGAACAAGCCAGAGCTCCCGCAGGCGCTGCTCGCCTCAAAGGACAGGCTCCTCTTCTCCTCCAAGTTTGCCTTCACACCCACCACCGCTCTAGTGTCCTACCTGCCAAAGAAAAACAAGAACGTCTTACTTCTGAGCACGCTGCACACCGAGGCTCACGTTAGCCGTCGCCAGGACAAGAAGCCGGCCATCGTCCTAGACTACAACAGCAACAAGGGAGGTGTGGACAACCTAGACAAGGTGATTGGAACCTACAGCTGGCCCCTGGCCCCTGGTCATCTTCCACAACATCCTTGACGTGTCCTCTTACAACGCTTTTGTCATATGGCGAGAGCTCAACCCTACTTGGATGCCTGGTAAGCGAAACAAGAGGAGGGTGTTCCTCGAGCAGCTGGGAAAGGCACTAGTGACTCCGTTCATACAAAGAAGGGCCCGTCTCCCTCGCACCGAAGCCTCTGCGGTGCTCGTCAAAGCTGTTTAGAGGGCTACGTATCGTGATCAGCCCCGGGATCACGCCCCCGCAGCACCCAACCACGCACCGGCCCAAGCACCTGACCCCGCACAACCCAGTAAGAGGAAGAGGTGTCAGGTCTGCCCCACAAAGAAGGACTGTAAAACACACACGGTGTGCACCAGGTGTAACAAATACATCTGCAAAGGCTGTTCGCACGCATACTGTCCCACATGTTCCAATTGGGCCTTTAGTGAGAGGGGGACAGTTCGACCCGGAGGGCACGGCGTGTGTACAGAATACCAGGACAACGGGAGGGTTATTTGTTTCATATCTTTCACCTCGGGCCATTCTACTGCTAAGTTCTTGATTCCGAGGATACATTCTGGGTTTATGATAATGTGCCAGTGACCCTTAAATAATCTTCCATTTAAATTATTGAACTTTTCATTGTGCTCAAACTTGAGCAATCTCTTAAGACTATACTTTTAAGTCACACACTGACATCAATGGAAGACTTGCACAAAGCTTTCAATTAAGTGTGTGTATCTCAGGTTAGAATTTTAACAGCCTAATTGGACCGTTCTGAAACAAAATGTAATGTAGGAATGGCATTTTCTCTGCAGCTGACTGGTTTTAACACATTAAATATGTGTCAGATACCTATGACCTAAGTCCTATTTGAAGATAAAGGTGTCCATATATTAGAGGTTTTAAATCTAGTTTTAAATCTCAGGCCGTGTTAGGGAAAGAGCTTTAGCGATGATAAAACAAAGTACTCTCTGGCCCTGACACCAGTAAAGAGGAAAAGGTAAGTCACAGATAGGAAAAAGTCATTTCCAAATGTGTAAATCACTTTTGAAGCGAAATTCCATCCTCAGGGAAGAGATCAAAAAGCAGTGTCTTGGCCCAACCGAGGTACTGTATATGAACTTAAAATGGTGTATAAACTTCAGTATGAAATACACTGTAAACTTCCAGAATTACAATTAAAGTATAAGGCCCGGGGGGGTGTGGTATATGGCCAATATACGGTCTGATATACCACGGCTGTCAGCCAATCAGCCAATCAGCATTCAGGGCTCTAACCACCCAGTTTATAATTAAACATATCCCTTTCCTGCAGTCAAATGACCTAGTGTCATCATGGGCGGAATGTTATTCATATATTTTTTAAGACTACCAAGAAACACTCTGTGTGACCCTGATTTATCCCACTGCAGTAAAAGGTTAAACAGCATAAAACCTTGCATACTATTGAATAGGTAAACCTTGGTGCATTGGATTCATTCTCCTCTCCTATGCACATATCCCTTTCATCCATTGATTACAATATATTTACATTCACATTTTAGTCATTTAGAAGACGCTCTTATCCAGAGCGACTTGCGGTAGTGAGTGCATACATTAACAATAACAATCAATGCCTCAACTTCTCATTACTGCACAAATGTTTTCATTCACATCGATCTTTTCTTCCAAGGCTGCTGTGAGGAGGAAGAGGAGGAGGAAGAGAAGAAGGAGGGAAAGAAGTGATAGATCTCGCTGATGAAGGTAGAGGCCATGAACGATGACACCATTGCCAATAAACAAGATGGGGAGCTCAGAAAATCAGTCTAAGGTGTGTTTGTGATTT